TAATTCGTCCCACGACGATGTTCTCTGGACCCATGACTTGAACTATTTGTCCAGACGATTTACCTAGTTTGTCCCAGGACGACGTTCTCTTGACTCATGCCTTGTTCGGTTCATCCAGACGATTTACCCAGTTCATCCCAGGATGATGATCTCTGGACCAATGACTTGAACTATTCATTCAGACGATTTACCTAGTTTATCCCAGGACGATGTTCTCTTGACTTATGACTTGTTAGGTTCGTCTAGACAAACTTGTACATTCATCCCAGGATGATGTCCTCTAAAGCTTAAACATATGGACCGTCTTGTAGTTTAGTCCCAACGAACCATTGATATAACTGTTCATATTGGACGAACTTAGTTTGTACAGGATGATGATTGGGTACAAAGTTATTTCGTCCCAATGCACATAGGGGTCGTACGCAACAGTTTTACACTGTTCATATGGATGAAATCAAGATCGTACGGGACGATGAAGTTCGCACAGAGTTGTAATTTAGCAATTTTTGAATGATTTTTTGTGTCCTTCATATAAAAGGTCCATTTAAAATTATTTGTTGGTCTTTTTGTCCACTATTTCTTGTGCAAACTGAAGAGAGATTGAAGGAGAGTGTGTGTGAGAGTGTTTGAAGGAGATTTCTTACCACTGGAGTATGAAGGATTCACTTGGTACTCAAAGGTAAGGATCTTTATTTTTGAATTGTGATTACTTCACTCTTCTCTTTTATCCTTCCAGATTTCTTGTAAGAAGATTTTGTCAAGGAGATCCAATTCTCTGCCGACACTCGAGGAGTGTGAACAATGAAGGGTACTCTGTCTACACATTTAGAAGTGTGAAAGGATGAAAGGTTCTCTGCCTACACTTGGAGAAGTATGAAAGGACGAATGGTTCTCTGCCTATACTTGGAGAGTGTGAATAGCGGTAGGTACTCTGCCTACACTTGGAGGGTGTAAAAGGAAGACGGTTCTCTACCACACCTGGTAGTGGTGGAAGAGAATTCTTTTGTAAAGGCTTCTATGCCTTACTGTGGGAGAAAAAGGAGAGACACTATGTGGTAATAATGCATTACCTGAAGTAGGAGACTTCAGGGAGTGGATGTAGGTCGTGTTTGACTGAACCACTATAAATCTTGTGTCTTTTATTTTATTATGCTTTTTACTTTACTTTTTCTATTTGAAAGTGTGGTTGAAAAATTGTTTTTATAAGAAATTCACTAAACTTTTTATCAGTTCAAAAAGAGGCCTAATTTTTAAATTACCAATTCACCCCCCCCCTCCCCCTCTTGGTTAGCCACCGGGTCATAAGCTTAGGTCTAACAACCTAATTCATACTTAATAAAGTTTCAACAATGATAGATAAGATTGACTAACTGATGATATTATTGATATAAAATGATATATGATATAGATATGATAGATATGATAAAAAAGATAAATTGATTAGTGAAATGATTGACTGATTATCATTATTGGCATGTAGCTACAATGATTGGGTACTAATATAAATATATAATTAATGATGAGGCGATGACTAGTATGTTTATAATATGATTGTATATGAATTTCATAATATCCATTGTAACAATCCTATTTACTATTATAGATTTTTACAGTGTGCAATTACTATTTCTATTGATGCATTGATTGTAGTTATAGAGGCATGTTACTTATTGAGTTATGTGCTTGTTATGTAATTTTTACATATTTTTAGGCAAGAGTAAAGATTTTATAGATTTATGTTATTCGGAGTTACAGTATGGAGTTTTTTTTGTATATGTCGATCTTTATATTTTTTTCTAGAAATGATATATTTATAGTGATAGATTGTTATTAATTGCATATCATAGCTATTGTATATATTATTTTAGACTTTAGGATTTTATAGTGATATATGTCATAAACAATTCTTGTGATGCCTCTTTGATGTAATTATTATGTATAGAAATATAAATATATTTTTTATTGTTTATATTTTTTAAATGTAATTAGTAAGTTCTAGTTATTAATTAAAATAATAGAGGCATGTACAATTCTTCCTAATATTGATTACAAGGCATGATAAAGTAGTATCATAATAATGCTTATTGGAAGAATTGAATTATAACCAGAGATATTGAATTGATTCTGGATGGGGTAATGTATAGGAGTATTGAGTTATGTTTATGCATTCATGAATATGAGTTGTATACTAGAATATGGATTGAACGGATAACTGAATTTATATTACATATACATTTTGTTAAAATATATATTGAACTGAGCAGACATAAGAAGATGAACCCAAAAGGAATGAAAATTTTGACTAAATAAGATACAAGAGCAGCTTCGATGACTCTTGAGGTGTAACAAAGTTTGCTGATGTGATTGTACAAATGGACTATAAAAGATTGGCAAGGGAGTGTGAGCAAAAAACTTTATGAGTAGGAATATCCATCCGTCAAGAAAATGGGTGAAGGGAGTAAGAAGAAGATTATAAAATCATCTACTAAAAGTGCTCTACGATATATATATATATATATATATTGGAAGAAGGCATACAAGATAATGTTATAAATGATAAGGAAATGCTTCAGGTGTGGTAGCTATAATGGGCCAAACTATTAACTACCAATATATTATTCGCTTTGGCTTAAGGACCTCATGGTTTGGTCCTATTAGTGTAACTTCCTAGGAGGCTGGCCATCTTAGGATTTCTTTGGGATGAGCATGCTTAAATGCTAAATTTCATAATAAAATTCCAACCATTACACCAAAATATACCTTAATGTTTAAGAGTTTAGCTTTTTTTACTTAAGGGGTTTCATAAAAGTTATTTGCCCAAGATGATGACTTTCCCACAACCTGGATATGTTCTAGGGTTTGTTCAAGCTAGTATTGAACCTCCTGTGAAAGAGAGATCAGAAGTGTTTGATAGTTCTATTGGTATGAATTTCTATTTTTAACATTATTTTAAAATTTTATTAGTTTGTTAAAATATATGACAACACATAATTGACTGCTTAACTTATATACATACTTTTTAGTGAATGAATATATGATTTGATTGTTATGATCGATGTGATTTCTGATCAGTTATATTATGCATAAAAATATTGAAGATGACATTTTTCTAAACTGATGAGAATGCAACAACAAAGCATTTTTTAAGTAAATTTATTTAAAAATTATGAAATTTTGGATTGTGGTGTTGTGGCACCAGGGAATCGTCACAGCATCATTGAATGTTCTATTCTTTAATAACTCTTCGATCGAGATGTAGCACAGTGGCGTTGGAAAGTTGGATGCCATTGCATTGGGTATTGAATTATTATTTTAACATATTTAATATAAATATTCCTCACCAGTTTCCCCATACCCTCTCATTTCATTGCTTACTAGGAAGTAAAGAAAGGAGAAGGAGAACAAATACAGAGAGAGAGAGAGAGAGAGGAGATAAAAGTCTATAGGGCTTTCTATACGTCACTTATGTTATGTAAATTATTCTAATCATTGCTAGTGGCCTCTACTCAACTTATATTTTTGATGATTTTGAGTTTGATATATTTATCCCTTTTAAAAGTGGTAAAAATGTGATATGTTCCATTTTAGTGAACTTTAACTATTTAATTTTTAATATGTGATAGAGATCATCATAAATAACAAACAATAGTGCCAATTCAATTGGATTCCTAAGATTGCAAAAAATTGTTGTCAATAAAGCTATTATTTTAGCTTACAAATTCAAGCAATATGATATATAATTTATGAGAATATATATACATATATACATGATACATCATAAAAAATCATCTTAATTTGGCATGAATCTCGATCCTTCCCTCAAGAAATAACATCATTTATAATTAATAACAAACAATAATGAATTCATTTTAGTTGGGCAAGGCCCTCTGATTATGATTTTTCTTTTTCTTGAATTTTCTAAATAAAAATTCTTGTGTCTCTTACCATTCTTATACTAATCTCTTATATCTATGTATGTTGGGGTATTTGTACAAAGCTAAAACATTAAACTCTCTAGGCTTCGTTTGAGATAGCTTTCTTACTGCTTTCAAAAGCAATCTTCTGACTGAATTATATATATATGTTAAGTCTCAAAGTATTCGTGGTTGTAGAGAAATATAAAGTTTAACATCTTAGTTTTGTATGAAGATCCAGCAAGCAATTAGATAAAAAGAGAGGGTGCAACATTTATAGGAGACACCAAGATTTTTATGTAGAAAACCCTTAAAATGGGGGAAAAATCACGGGGCCTAGCCCAGTTTGAATGAATATACTAGTATTTATAGGTTATTACAAATGAGGCCCTTCCTTACGGGAAGGCCTTAGCTTAATGTACATCATATATAGTATATTACATGGCACAAATACAAAGAATCACCGCTGATGTGTTTGTTTGGTCAGAAGGGGTAGTTGGTGGGAGACGTAAGTTGAAAGGACCATAGTAGATGGGTGACCGAGTTTGGAAGGACAATAGTGGATGGGCGATGTAAGTCAGAAGGACTGTACTCGATGAGCGACGGAGGTCAGAAGGACTATAGGCGGTGTGTGATGTAAGTTAGAAAGGCTGTAGTTAGTGGGTAACATAAGTCGGAAGGACCGTAGTTAGTGGGCAACGGAGCTCAGAAGGACCGTAGTTGATGACGGAGGTTAGAAGGATGACGCCAGGTAGAAGTCCAACGATGGACATATGTCCAACGTTGGATAAAAGTCCAATAAATGTCCTGCAACAGGCATAAGTCTAGTCAGATTTCTGGTGATGGGCGGAAGCTCGGAGTCTGGCAAGAATCTGGTGACGGGCAGAAGCCCAATATTGGGTAGGAACCCGATGATGGGCGAAAGTCCGGTGTTTGATAGGATTACGGCGATCAGTATAAGTCTGGTGCCTAGCATAAGTTGTCGATGGATAGAAGTATGGCATTAGATAGAAATCTAGCAAAAGTCTAGCGATGAGTAAAAGTCCTACGTTGGGTAGAAGTCTGGTATCGGGTAGGATCTTGTAACTAGCGAAGGTCCAGCATCAGGTAGAAGTCCAACATCAGTTGGTGGCCGGGCAAAAATCCGACGTTAGGTAAAAGTCCAACGCCGGGTGGAAATTCGGCGTCAAGTGGAGGTCCCGCGTCGGGTAGAAGTCCGACGACGAGCATAGGTCTGGCATCATGTAGAAGTCCGACGTCAGTTGACGAACGGGTAAAACTCGAACGTTAGATGCCACTCGGGAAAACCTCCCACATCGATAAGCTGCTAGGTGAAAGTCTGACAATGGTCGAAGTTTGTCGGTTGATGGAAGTCTGGCGTCAGATAGATGTTATGTGAAAGTTCGGCGACAGGTAGAAGTACACACGTCGAGTAGAAATATGGAGACGAGCGGAAGTTTGGCGTCAGGAAGAAGTCCGACGTCAATCGGCTGCAGGGTGGAACTCCGACATTAGATGGCATTCCTGCAGAATTCTGATGTCGGTAGGCTGCTGGATGAAAGTACGGATGTGGTCGAGGAGGAGTCTCTTCCATCTCTTCCTTGCGTACTTCTCTTCTCTTCTTGCTTGGGCCTCCTTCCCCTCTCTGGGGCTCCCTTCTAAGAGAAATGAGAGGCCTATTTATAGTTTTATGGGAGTGGCATGGCCAGTAAATAGGAGGAAGATCTGGGGTAAACTATGAGTAGTTTGAATTGACGACCGATGTTGATTCCCTTGATCATAGATAGTTCATTGGACATTTGAATGTCTTAATGATATTAGAATTCTATGATCCTGGGCTCGTTGGATTCTTCTCGTCGAGCCGCTCAATTTGATTATAAGCATTTCACGTTTGTAAACCATTTGGTAATCCATTTTTTGGTTTGAACCTTCCAACAATGCTTTGAGTCTTTGATTTGGACACATCTGGACTCGGATTGAGTCGAATCTGGTGTCCTTGGGTTCGTATTTCTGAGGCATTCAGTTCATCTATAAGTTTGCTGAAATCGGAGTTGAGATAGTCTCAGATTTAATTTTTTAAATTTCCAACATAATTTTGCTTTGAGATTCGTGCCCGATCAAGATAATTTTTTTATGATATATATATATATATATATATATATATATATATATATATCAACATATTTGGGAACTCATCTCAATATTACATTCAATTGTAAGAAAACCAATTTATATGGATGGATCAATCCTAACAATTTGCTAGAAACAAACAAGAGAGTGCTAGTTTCATTGCTAAAAGCCCAAATCTTCAAGCATCTCTCAGGTAAAAATGGTACAAATGAGTATAAAGGAAAATTAATAGCATAAACTAGGAAAAATGATGATTTCACTTTTGACAATACTCACACTCCAAGAAACTTAAACTTTTCAGCATGTCGTTTCCCAAACCGATCAGCTACTTCACCCGTTAAACTGAAATCCACAACATCCAAAAGCTGATTCCCTGCATAACCAAATTGAAGTTCATTCAAAATTCTACTTCTATGCAGAGGAAAACAAAAACAATGGCTCTAGCATAGTTCCACACTTACCACAACAACAATGCAAAATATTACTGCTCATTTCCACCATTTTCTGGTAATCAAGTCCCACCATGCATTTAAGGATTTCTATGATCACAAATCTTAAATACTAAAGAAAATAGCCAAAAGTATATTTGAATTTAACGATTTAATAGTTTTTGTGACAAATAATTTTCAGGTTTTAACTCACTTAAATTTTCCTCAAGTTTTACAAAATCTGGATTTATAGGTTTATTAAGTCAAACAGAACCTTAGTGCATCTTATCTTGAGTATTACTTGCAGTATACGATGAACTTACTTCCGATTGAATTATCATGATGCGTTAAGTTGCTTCTTCTAGCATCAACAGGTGTTCTGTATTCCGTATTATCTTCCTGATCGTCGAATTTCACAGTCCTGATGCAGTCCATTTTCTCCGCGGCAATCTTTCTTCGCTTCCCTCCCATTGAAGAAAGCTTTGATGCCACATTTCTTCTAGATTTCGACACTACGTCTTCCTCCATAACATCTTCGTTTTCCAATTCTACGTCTTCGGAATCATCCTCCATGTCATCCTTTGTAGATCCCCGGCCCCATTCCTCATCACTCGTAGAAGCTTCTTTGCTGCTTCCCTCTTCACCTCCAGCCTTAACAGATTCCAATGGCTGCTTAGCCGCCGGCGACCCAGATCCCGACATCCTTCTAAGCCGACGAAGATTCCTTGGCCGTTTCGCCTCTACCCATTCAATTTTCTCCTTCTCCATATCAAGAAACTCTTCCTCCCCATCATCATACTGGATCACATGCTTGCCGGAAGCCTCATCGAACGATCGGACATGCCCTTCATACCAAGACTTGTCGAGCGGCCAATAAACCCTAATCCTCTTGCCAACAACTTCCGAAGAGTACGGCACCTTCTTGCCTACCGATGAACAGGTGTCGATGCTGGGGACCGAGGGTGGTGTGATGACAAGAAGGGGCTTCTTCTGCGTTGCTTTGTCGTTCAAAGAAGAAGTATCAGAGGAAATGCTAGGACTTGGATTTGGGTTAGAGTTTGGCGCAGGGCTTTTGCCAGGAGAGAAGAAGGAGGTGATTTGGCATTGCTTGCGGACAAGAGGAGAGCGGCCGTTGCTCAGGCGACGCGAAGGAAGCATCGGAGTAGGTTTAGGCGACTTCCGCTGTGGAGGAAGGTGGAGGGCTGGGAGATGGCAGCAACGCGGCAGGGAGAAAGGGTTTAGTTATAATGCACGTCAAATTGGCGGGAAGCCTGGGAAGGATGTCCACGTCGGCGAGCCGAAACCTCGGCGACGTTCGGTGCGTCTGCAGAGTTTGGAATCAGAGGGTTGGGGCAAATTATTGGGTCAGGTGATCAAAGCCATCTCTCCGTTCGGTCGTCAATGGAAATGCGACATCTGTTAGGCGTTTTTTTAATTTATTATTAACGCTTTATGTCTTGTCAGATTAGCGACCCGACCCGATAACGCCTTTCATTTGAACTTTTAAGCATTTGCCGCCCTATTTTTTCATTTTGGAAGCCGCGAAAGACGCAAATAAAGACTGCTGTAGAAGAAAAAATGAGCCAGAAAATTGCAGAGAAGAAATGGACTGCTCAGCGAAGAGGGAGGTCGAAGAGGCAATGGAAGAGGGAGTACATGAATCGGAAAGGATGCACGAATCGGAAAGGATGCATGAATCGCAAGGGGTAGTGCATGAATCGGAATCGGAACCTAACGTAGCCGGAAATTCCTCTGGTTTCAACATTTCGGTAAGTATCTTGGAAAAACGAGTTAGAAAGTTGTTTGTGAGCAGAATAAATTTCTTAAGCAGAAAGTTGACGTAGGTTTCAGCTCATTATTCTTAAGATTTTTGATTTTGCGATTTTTAAGCAGAATAAATTTCTTTTGTCGAAAAAGTAAAAAAAAAAGAGAACAATCAATGATAGCTCCACTGCTCTAATTTGTGTCATTCTTGCTTTTAAAGCAATTTATTAATCTAGAGAAGCCAACAACATTTTTTTATAGACACATAAAAAGCATCAATGATTCGTTTTTCTCTTTACTCCTCTCTCGCGACTAATGAGTCACGACCTCGAGAACGACTTTCATTAGGCCCCCCCTGAACAAAATTTCTGGCTTCGCCACTGCCTCCACCCCAAAAAAAAAAAAAAAATCACATGGGTATGATAGAAATATATATTCTAACTCAATTTAATTAAGCTCCTTATAGTTGATAATCATCCTATTTGAAGATCTCAAGTGCTCAAGACATTCAAAGCAAATGGATTTTAAAGGTTCTTAATGAAATTTTCGTGACGCATAGCGAATACTCTTTCATTTTTTATGGTATTTATTCCCTCTCCAATTCCCATTATAATGAATGGGTACTAATTAATCAAAATTTATTCGAGGCACTATATTCACTTATTTTCATATCACTTTTACCTTATGTTCTCAATATTTAGATATGCCACTAAATATGAATAATAGTTGGTAAAAGACTTCAATCCATAAATCATTATTGCATTCTACAACTAAAAAATGAGTTGCATCATTTAGCCATAAAAGATCGAACAATGGCCCTATACTTATTCATTATTAAGGATAAAGTAGGTGTGATTATTGTTGTTGGAAGTTCTATTAATCCTAAGAATATTACCTTGTATAATCTCAATACAGTTCCACCCGCATATCATGCATTCAATAAGACAACTATTCACATTATTCTTCAACCATTCAATATTGATGATTTATATTCTCTTCTTTGTGGTAAAGATATTATCTTGGTAGGTATTGGCTATGACAAAGGTTTTTGTCTTCAAATGCTTATTAAAAGGGGAGGTCATTTCCTCACAGAGGCAATTCTACTGCAATTTAATGTGGTCAAAGCAAATATCCTAGCATTGGATGCCAAATTCATAAAAAACATGATCATGTAAGTAGCTATTGGTTTCAAACCGACCTGAACTATTAGTCTTAAATTAAAAACACTTAAACTCATTGTAACCACCAAGTTGTTTACTCCAAACCGGTACCTTAATATAGGTTTTTTTTTTTTTTTACATATTACAACAAATTTCAATCAATTACATTACCCTCAGACATATCAAAGCGCACAATGAATCTATGTTGGAAATGGACAAATAATGAAGAATTGCAAACAACCCCCTCGCATAAGCACATGCATGTCATTAAAAAAAACTTAAAATCATGCAAGTCATAAATTTATAACATATACATAACATCTCAACAAAATGGCTAAAATATTTCATTCTAGTTATAATATTTGAGTCCTTAAAGATAAAAATGCTACACAATATGAAGAAAACAAAAAGGTGGATCACTTTGAAAATGTATTTTAAAAGATTATTAGTGGTCTTCTATTTATTGAAATAAGCTTGTCATGCCACTTGAACAAGCCAATTTTTTCCAATAATTGAGGAAAGTTATGTAATGGTTTGATAGAATAAGAGGGAGACACTTTATCATGCTCCAAACTATATTTTGAAATAATTTGTTATTTTATCTTTTATTATATAATAATCAGAGGTATCTATTTTCATGTATCATTAATAGAAAACTGAAATAAATTTTATAATTCAAAGCATCAATACATGATAAATAACAATGAATTTGTAACATGCATTTCGATGGTAATACTAAACAAGTAAGAAGTTATAGTTATCACGGTATTTTTTTTAATAATCAGTAATCGATAGTTGGTAACATTTGGCTTAGTAAGCAGAGTCGTCACTCTTTGTCCGTCGACACAGTAATAACTCATTATAACTCTCAATCGTTGTATCAATTAAGGCTAACACTCGACCAGTCAACCATAGCATTTAAAGGAAAATCCGTCGGTCCCCCCATCATGTACGGGTCAATCAATCTTCAACCAATAAGTTAACCAATATTTACTTATTTTTTACACGCTCATTTATTACATGTAATGTTTCAATAGTTATAAATACCTTATTTCATGAAATTTTTTTGCCATTTTATGAGTCTATCCTCTGGAACCCCGCCCCAATCACATACAAAACCACAATGGTATGCTACACAGAATGAGAATCCATTACAAACAACAACACCAATTTGCAATAGATTATAATTCAGCGTAAAAAATAAAATAAAATGCAGTGGCATAATCAGATATACATTAGTCACAATTTTATAGTAACCAGATTACATCACTAATAAATGGACAAAAATGCCCAATTATAGTTGATATGCCATCAAAAAAAATTATCTTGATCGGGCACAAATCTCAATGTGAATAAGAGTCAGAAGCTTCAAAAATTAAATCCGTGATCACCCAAACTATGATTTAAACAAACTTATAGTAAAATTGAACATCTCAGGGAGATAACCCAAAGACCCCAAATTCAGTCCAATCGGAGCCTAAATGAGCTAAAATCAGAGGACCAAAGCCTACTTAAAATTTTAGAGCAATAATTGGATGATCAAATGATATATGTGTGTGACATGCATATAGTTAAATTGAGCGGCTCGATGTGATAAATCCAACGAGCCCAAAATCGCTTAATTTCGCCATCATTATGTCATATAAATATTAGAAAAATACATAATAATCACGGGGATTGATATCAGTCATCTGATGGAACACTCCAAACTTATCGTTGATCTTCTCCGTATTTATAGCCATGTCACTCACAAAAATTTTAAGCAGACCCTCATTCTTCACACGAGGGAAAGAACAAGAAAGGAGAAAACTTGGAAGCTCTCTTGCCACTAGTAGCTGCAGAATCTTTTCCCGACCACATACCACTGTCAAACTTTTGTTAGTTTGTTGGTCGTTGTCGGATCTCCTCCTGATTTCGGGCCATCGCCGAACTTCCGCCCATTTGGAGGTCATCGCTGGATCTCCTCTCGATTTTTTACTGTCATTAGACTTCTGCCTGTTTGTTGGTAGTTGTTGGATCTCTTCACAGACTATCGTCAGACTTTCGTCAATTTGTTGGCCACCATCTAATATCCTCTCGATTTTTTTATCATTTTTGTACTTTCGCCTATTCATTGGCTATCGCCGGATCTCTTTCTGACCGTCGACTTTTCAGACTTCCATCCATCAACTGATTATCACTAAATCCCAATCCATCATTGGACCTCCGTCAAACATTCTCACAATTGTTGCTTTCAGACTTTTAATATCTATCATTCAATCAATATCATGAGTATCAGTCTAAAGTTTAGTCAATTCTCTAATATATTGCATTCTCATCGTCCTTGACTTAAGGGACGATTCAACCTGTATAATAAGTTCAAATACTAGTGAAATCATTTCAACTAGGCAAGGCCCTATGATTTTTTTTTCTTTTTAAGAGTTTTTCACGTAAAAATTTTGATGTTTTTTTATCTTATCTGTTTGTGCGCTGAATTTTCGAGCATCGCTAAGACGTAGAATCTTTTAGCAATATATAGTGCCGCGAAATTCTCAGCCCACAACATTAGTATTAATATTTGAGTTCTTAAGATTAAAAATGCTTAAAAATATGGAGAAAACAAAATGGATCACATTGAATTAGGCTTCGTTTGGGGTGACTTTCTTAATGTTTTTAAAAATAATTTTCTAATAAAAAAAATTAAATTTTTGTACTAAAAAATTTCTTTAAGAAACAATAAGAAAGCCGCCCCAAATGAAACCTTAGCCCACCAAAAGATTATTAGTGCTCTTCTATTTATTAGAATAAGCATGTCGAGCCACCCGAATCAGTCAATTTTCTCAATACAAATAATGCTTTGAGATTTGCACTGCCGATCAAATGAATATTTTTAATACATAATACAAGTATTCGGCATAAAGGAATAAGGAATAAAAAAATCTTGAAAAATACCGAGAGAACTCACACCCTATAGCTTGGGGTTTTAATTTCATTCAATCATTAATAAGATGATAACTAAAATTAGTAGATTAGGAATTGCGAATATAACTTTATTTTACAATCACTTACGATAGTTTCAGTTAAATCAATTATTTCTGTTTAAACAAAATTTTAAATTTAAATAACCTCAAAACAAACTGATTTTCTTAATCAGTTTGATTATAATTTGCAGATTAACTTCTTTTTTTCTATAAAATGTTTAAAAATAATGTGGCTATTTAGGCTTCGTTTGCGACGGCTTTTTTATTGCTTTCTAAAACGAAATTTTAGTACAAAAATAAAAAAAAATTGTACTAAAACTCTGTTTTATAAAACAATAAAAAAACTGTCTCAATCGAAGCCTTAATAAGGTTTTAGAGTCTCCATATGGAATAATGTTCTTCCTATAGCCTAAATGAAGATGACGATGATTATTTTTTTATCGTTCTTGTACATTAATGAAGA